CATCTTTCTTTAAATAAAAAATGTTTGCATGGCTACAGATTACAGGGTATTTTACTATATAGTAAACTTTCATATTTTCGATCTTTAAAGAGAACTGTTTTTTAAAATAAAAATTTCTAAAGGGAAAATTTAACCTTTACAGGGTATTTTCAAGTCAACCACATCCACACTAAATAGCTAAATGTTTTCATTGCTGATTGTTTATGTTAGCAACGCTTGAAAAACAAACATGACATATTAAAAGCCAATCATAAAAAAATCCCCTCACGCTGGCAAAGTGTGGATGTTAATGCCGCTCATCTATCACATGATACATTGCATTAACATCAATCCATAATCTATTATATAATCTATAATATAATTTGATAGCTGCATAAATAAACATTATTAATATGTCAACCTGAGGCCGAGTGCCATGAATATAAATTATTGCAGCGGAACCAGAATTAAATGTGACTGCGTATGCGTCAATTGTAATGCGATTGCCGGGCTCAAATTATGGAAATTATAGATACAACTAATGCAACTTAATATTAATAATGCCCTGCATAAGCAATGTCTATAATAATTGAGTTCTTGATTAGCTAAAACCGATTGCATTTTTTGGGCTAAAAAAAAAAACTAATAACATTATGCAAGCGATCATTAAAATGGTAAATGAAAAGCTATTCGAATTGGAATTAGCTTGATTTAGCTATTAATATAATGTAATAATAATATTGCATGATAATATTTAAATTCTCTGTTTTTTTAGCACGCTGGCCTACAATTTCCAGCTGATTGCATTACACAACATGTGCAAAAGATATAAGAGATGTTCAAAAGGCTGAATTAAAACATGTGAAAGAGCTGCAGTGAGGCATATCCGACTTTAATATACCCTGCAGCCGAGCTAACTTTCAGCTGCATTCTAGATTTTGCTCAAACTGAACCTAGTTCAATCTTGAATCAGGACTTGGGATTAAGTCTACATACACATTTTAGTTAGAGTAAAGCAAAGCAGAGTTCTAATACTTATTCGATGTGGAGATCCAAGTTCTTGTCACTAGTAAAACTAGCAAGCTTTAGCTTTTTCTTTTGCTTTTATTTGCAACGTCTTCTAGACGTTAGTCAATTCAATATTCTTGGAAGTGGACTTCATACCTTCTCTTTGAGCTAATATTATGTTGTCTGAGCTATTTAATTTTAGAACGCACTGTATAAAAGATCTAGAGGCTGCCGGCAGAAGTCTAGAG